AAGTGTAATGAGGGAGGAATATTGAACAAAGTGTTTAAGACCATGCTGGGGAAACCCACAGAAACGACTGAAAGTTGGGAGCTCGTGGACCCCATTCTGACCGAACCAGACCTCCTGAATGTCAGTGTCAGTTGAGGGGCCTGCACAGTCTATGGGGCCTCTGGCAGTGGAACTGGTATTTATCCCTGGTGCATGAATGGGCTTTAGGAGCCCATTTCCTATTGAGGGATACTTTCTCAGTCTACATACATGGGAGAGGGCCTAGGTCCTTCCCCAAATGATGTGACAGGCTTTTATGATCCCCCATCGAAGGCCTCATGATCCCTGGTGTGTGAATAGGTATGAGGGAAGATAGGAGTGAGAGGGAGCAGGAATTGGAATGCATAATAAGATTGTTTTCAATTTAAATAAAAATTAATTAAAAAAAGAAAGATTATCCTGAGGACAGTTTCACTTTAACTCCTTTCCCAAACCAACTGGGCTACAAGTTTATTTTTAACTCTCCTGTCTTGGCATTCTCTGACAAACAAACTATCCCATCATCCTTTAACTTGCCAGGGGAATCTGGCAGTTTCAGCTCTCTTATTTTCCCCACCAGGCATTTTAAAACATGGTTCTTCTTCCTGATTGCCTTGGTTATTTTGGATGCATTATGCTCTCACTTACTCTTTTAGCTCGTGTAAGAAATCTGCTCCACTACACTAGTTTTCAACAATTTATATTTGTCCGTATTATCATGTTTCTGAGAAAATGTCTATTACATCTTTCTTCTTACAAGTCTAAGTATTTTTCTTCTCAAAATACTTGATTTCTAATCACAAAATCAAATGTAAGCCTTTATGGAAGTGTGTTTCTTGCAAGTTCACTGATATTAGACTAGTCCTAACCAACAGAGTTGTGTTAGCTCTATACTTTGTGTGAAAGTAATGAGAAATGATACCTACACTACAATGCCCATCATTCATAACTGTGGGAAGAATGTATGCTACTTGAACGTAAGCTACATATAGTGTGCTTTTCTATTATAGAAACACCAATAGTGATGTAAAACATTTTTTATCAAATTAGAAAAATTTTAAGTCTTTATATTTCTCATCTACTTGTGCTTTTGATTCTGCTAGCTCTGAGATTCAGTTGACATAAAATTAGCTTTTACACACAATACCACAGGTCTTTCATTGACTATTAATGTTCTTGAGATTAAAACGTACTTACATCATCTCACCTTTCTCTTCCCTCCCTTCAATCCTCCAACTATTATATCCTGCCTTTCTCACAAATTCATCTACTCCTTTTGAATAAATTGTTTTCATGTATATATATGCAAATGTATTGATAATGGAATATAATATATAATGGGGTATAATATTCAGCAAGTACTATATTATTTGATTAAATATGAATTTAGTGCAGACTCCATAGTTTTGGACAAACAAATTGGCATTATTTGTAAACAATAGTTAAATACTAAGGCACTATGAATCTTAATGTTTTTTTTTCCTTGGCAATTCATTTTTGCATCAGCCAAGTTGGGAAAGTTAGAGTGTGTTCAATGAATTACTACCGCATGATTATAGACATAAAGGCTTTCCTTAAGCATCTCATAAATTGAAAAAGTTTATTTTTCATGGAAACTAGTATTTTGAGAGAGGAATGAAATAAAAAGTCTTTTGGATGATCTTGTTGTTCAGGGAATTGACCTACCCATTTTTCTAGTAACTTTTTTTTATTATGTCTTTTTATTTTTAAATTTAAATTAGAAACAAGTTCTAACAAATTTTTTGAGAGATTTGGCCCTGTGATAGGGAGTTTATGAAATTGCAAAGTATATTATATAAACTCAGCTTTAAAATCTCATTACTGGACTCAGTAACCATTATTTTCTGCCAGGGATTTCTTTACTGTTTTTATGTGAAGTAGTTTTGGGATGAAAGATGGTGTTTTTTTCTGGACCATTCCCTCAATTGTTAAGATACAGTGTATGTTTTCCTTCAGTTCAAACAATATCCTTTAATCACAGGCCTGAATAAATATGTCCATCATTCATACCTTGACAGTATTTTCAAACAACAAGGATTATGCAGCCATAGAAGATGAGAATATTCTCTAATTGTGACCCAATATGTGTATGCATTTGTGTATGTAAAACATTCTATTTAAAGACCTGATTACCAGTTACTATTTCTTTGGGGCTACCAAGATGCCTCATCAGGTAAGATGATTTGTAACTCTTCCTGAGGACCTGGGTTTAATTCTGGCCAACCATGTGGTAAGTCATACCTCTTAATAACTGCAGTTTCAGGGGATTCTTTTTTGCACTCATTAGGTATTACCTGTGTGTGGTACATACTCATGCACAAAGGGAAATCCCAGTGACATAAAATAAATAAAACATAAAAGGGTTTGACTTAATTATTGAGTACTCGATGGCACAATTGTGTACAGCATGGACTGTAGGTGATAATTTTAAGCTACATGTTGACATTGACCAGGAATTATATGACTTAAGGAGTATTTTTCTTCTATCAGTTTTCCAGTGGGCAGTATATATCTATATATATGTATACATACATGCACATATATATGTATAGATATAGATATGAAGATATGATACTGAATTACATGTCACGTGTGTCAGGGGCTATAGATAGGGGACATGGGGATGGATACAATCAATGCATACATGTATGAAATTATCAAGTCATAAATGAATAAATCATTTAAAGATTGAAATAAACAATGGTACTAAGTTATTAAAGACAAATAAAATAAGAAAGGAAATTTTCTTCCCTGTGTTGAGGGTCTTCAGCTTGATTTTTGGCTTAGGATGAGCTAAATGTAGGTATTTTCCTGATAATATTTTTTCCTAATAAAATTTTTTCAACTTGAGTAATTTATGGTATTGATTGTTTATGTATTATTGATTTACCATGTATTTATTTCCACAATGTTTTTCTTTTTTAATGGTTTTTTGAGGAAGGATTTCTCTGATTAATGGCTCTAATTGTCCTGGAACTCCCTTTGTAATCAAGACTGGCTTCAAACTAACAGAGGTCCACCTGCATCTGCTTCCCAAGTGATGGGATTAACTTAAGACCATCACCACCACAGAAATGTCTATATTGGGTTTATTTAATGAATTTTTCCAAAACATTTCCTACATCTGCCACCAAACTATGTCTTTCCATTAAATTTGGTAGGTTCCAGAGTTTCTTGGGACTTCCTCAAGGGATATCCCTCCCTTACTATGAAAAAAATGTTATAGTCATTAGGGTTGATGACAATGTTGGTTTAGGCCTACAAAGCCTGCTAATAAGAAGTAGAGAACTCATCTAGAACACAAAGATATTTGATGAATCATTCAGAATGCTAATAGTCATGAAAGTGAGTGGTTTCACGAGAATATGCAGTTTCAATGATATTGTAGATGAACGTGGTTAGCATGTGTCTATGATACTACATACGAACCTTAACAAATTCTAGCATTCCATCTACACTTCTCACTGCTATAGTGGATACATGACCATCCAAAGAATTACAGAAATAGCAGACTGAATGTCAACATGTATGCATGACCCCAATTCTCACTTCAGAGAATCCACTACTGTGCGACTTCCACAAAAGTCACTCAAGTTTTCATAAAGAATTGTGAGAATGGAGGGTCTGATATTGGTGAAGGAATAAAATTCAAAGAACCATTCAAAGAACAACAAGTTCAACTTTTATGAATTAAGGGTCAAATATTGTGGGAATTTTACGGAGTCCTTAGTCACTTTTTTTGTTTCTCAAGACAGGGTTTGTCTGTATTGCTTTGGAGGCTATCCTGGAAGCAGCTCTTGTAGACCAGGATGGCCTTGAACTCACAGAGATCTGCTTGCATCTGCCTCAGAAGTGACCTTTTCACTTTTTAATTAAGATTCAGCAAAAGAAAAAGAAAAATGTATGTATAATTACAAACCCAAGAAAATTAGATTGAAAGACTTCCAAAATAAACAATTTAAAATTTTCATTTGTCCCTCAGGCCCAAGTATATGATATTTATAAAATTAAAACCGTGAAGAAAAGAATGAACATCATGTTACCTAGACACCACAGCATTTATAGGCCTGTCAAACTCAGAGAAACAATGTGAGCTGGTTGATATTTGAATGCCCATAGAATATTGGCTGCAGGAACGGGCTTTCTCACATGTAAATTGTGAACTGAAAGAGTATTTCCTGTGAAAAACAAAGACCCCTTTTGCATGTGTTTCTAGGCAACTATTCCCTAGTGTACTGCTCATACAAGACACATGATATACCCAGAGCATGGTTGTGGGTCAATCTATTTATGTAATTTGATCTTGAAATCCATGTCTTATGTGAAGTCTCCTACTAACATCACAGTAGGAAATTCAGAAAAGCTGTGGGCACAACTTCGAATGAGACAAAACTAAGGGAGTCTTTCAAATTGTAGTTGGCTGATTTGTAAAGGGAGGAGGAGGGTCTTCTTCCAGAAGTAACTGAAAGACTTGGTCTATAATCACCATTTATATGGCCACATGCCCCAGAATTCACTCACTCATACTCAGAAGAAGAAACAGCAAAGAGTAATTGCATGCTACATGTTTTATTAGAATATTGAAGGTACACTTACAACATCATTGTTCCATGGAAATGACATTAAAGGTATCTGTCTTCTACTTCATCTGGAACAAATGAATAAGAAAAAAGATCACGGAGATGAAAATAACAATGTGCAATTGTAAAATTTCTTGAAGCATTTCTGTTTTCTAAAGATTTCTATATCTGTTAGAGTTAAGGCATATGATGCACAGTGAATTTAAATCACAGAAACCATAGAATTATAGATCAAAGGAGCCATATACTATTTAGATGAATATATGATTTATTGCTTTAGGAAGAGGTTGCTTATCTCTGGAATTTGGGGGTTGGTGTGAAGGATAATATATCTGATTACCTTTGCACTGCCATGGAACCTCTTGGCTATACATAAAATGTCTACAGGGAACTTGGCCCTTCCTCACTTCCCTGCTGGGGTGGGCCCTGTTGGTTTCCAGGTTTAGGAGGGCGATTTTGCTGAGGGCCTCCCTGCTGGTTTCCAGGTTTAGGAGGCCGAGGTTTCTGGTGGTCACTTTGCTGTGGTGATCTCTCTGGTGCATTTCCATCTTCTTCGCCATCATCATCACCTTCTTCATCAGGTGCAGAAAGGTTTGGGGAGAATTCTCCAGGTGGGGGTCTCTGATGAGGTTGATCAGGGCCTTGGCCTTGCTGCTCTTCCTCTGCTGGGGTAGAAATCAATATAGGAGGAGTTCAAACTTTCTATTTCTCCAAGATGGCCCTTCCAGCTCTTTGTGACTGATTCCACTTGATCCTCATTTCACATTCACCACATGAACTTTCTTGTGTCACAAGTCTTTGTACCAATATTTTTCTTAAATTTGGTGCATAAAAGGTGATAGGATGTTCCTTACAATTTTCAGACAGAAGTGAAGAAAACTGACAGGCTTGTAAATGTTACAATTTAAAAATTGGCAGAATACAAAATTGTGACAGCAATGCTCTTTTCTTAAATATATCATGGTTTTCAGACCCCTGGTGTAATGTGGACAACAAGAAAGAAATGTAGGAAAGGGATGAAAAGATATGTCATTCATTTTTTATGCAATGTCTTTTTATGTATTAGTCATCTATTCAGCATGAGCATATACTTCTACTTGGAAGAAAGAGTGCCATGGAGAAATTTAAATGAAGATACCCAATATCTCATCATATGCACGATATTTCTTCAATCTGTGGAAGAGACACATTGTTCCTCTGATAAAACCTGGCTTTGGGGGCTGGAGAGATGGCTCAGAGGTTAAGAACACTGACTGCTCTTCCAGAGGTCTTGAGTTCAATTCCCAGAAACCACATGGTGGCTGACATCCATCTACAACTCAGTCTGGTGTGTATGTAATAAATAAATAAATCTTTAAAAAATAGGTCTTAAAAAATACTGGCTTTGTCCTCTTCCAGTGTATAGTCCTGTTCTAGGCCCTACCTACAATGTTGGAAAGTTGTACTATACATCTCCAGGGAAGTTGTCACAAAATTAATTTCATAAAATAGCAAAATTATACAGAGACTTTTAAGAGTCACATACTTAAAACAGTAAAGTTTGCATAGAAGTCCCATAGAGGATGAATCTGGCTTTTCCCGAGAGATGCGAAGACGAATCTTCATAGATGATCGCTAGGAAATAAGGACAAAGTAAGTTTAAGGTTGATTATGACATTTTCAGGCTTCCCAGTAAAGAGGATTTTCAACCATAGCTTCACATCCACTAAGTAGAATTTTTCTTGGGTAATGTTGCTGATAATGCTGACAGAATGGTTTCTATGATAAGTAGCAACCACTATTTGGTTACTTATTAGCTTTCTCTTTCCTTACGCTTAGTCTTCATGTACATTCTGGGAATTTCTTTCCTTTTTTGTGGATTTCAGTAGTGTTTTATTTTTTCCCTTTGATAATTTTTAATTTATATTTGAAGCAATCATATTTCACATGTCAATCTCAGTTCCCTTATCCTCCCATCCTCCCATCTGTACTCCCACAGTCCCACTCACTACCCACTCCCCAGGGAAAGTGAGGCCTTCCATGGGGCATCATCAAAGTCTGTCATATCATTTGAGGTTGGGCCTAGGCCTTCCCCCATGTATGTAGGCTGAGAGAGTAGCCTTCCATAGGGAATGGACTCCCAAAGTCCATTCGTGTACTAACAGTAAATACTGGTTCCACTGTAATAGAACTGTCCAGGCCTCCAATCCATCACCCAATTCAGTAGGCCTGCTTTGGTCCTATGTTGGTTCTCCAGCTGCCTGGCTAGGGAACATGAGCTCCCACTTGCTCAGGTCAGCTGTATCTGTGGATTTTCCCAGCATGTTCTTGACCTCTTTGTTCATCACTCTTCCATCTCTTTAACTGGTTTGCATTATTTATGATCTTCTATGTCACTTTCACTTTCTATGTGATATATTCATAGGCATTTTATGAACTGAAATGAGAATAAATATTGTTTTAAATTCTATGTATTCAATGAATATTGCCTGGGTGATATTAAAATAGAGAAATTGGTGCAGCAAGGTATCTCAATGGGTAAAAAATGCTTGCCTGGTGACTTGAAACCAGTTTTTTGAATCATGTGGTAGAAAGACAAATCTTTCTCCCAATAGTTGTCCTCTGACTGGAATGTGAACAAATATTCTCTCTCTCTCTCTCTCTCTCTCTCTCTCTCTCTCTCTCTCTCTCTCTCTTTCTCTTTCTCTTCCTCTCTCTCTCCATGAGTTTGTGTCTGTGTCTCTCTTTCTCTCAAGCACATATACACCAACACACAGACAATTGTGAATATACACATACACTGTAAACAATTTAAAATTTTCATTCGTCAGGCCCAAGTATATGATATTAATGAAATAAACAGAGTGAAGAAAGGAATGAACATCATATCCCCTTGACACCCCAGCATTTATAGGCCTGTCAGACTCAGAGAAACAATGTGAGCTTGTTGATTCTTGAATGCCAATAGTATATTAGCTGCAGGAACAGGAACTTTCTCACATATAAACTGTGAACTGAGAGAGTATTACCTGTGAAAAACAAAGACCCCTTTTGCATGTATTCCTAGGCAGCTATTCCCTAGTGTACTGCTCATACAAAACCTATGACATACCCAGAGCACGGTTGTAGGTTAATCTGTGTATGTATTTTGATCTTGAAATCCATGTCTTATGTGAAGTCTCCTGCTAACATCACAGGTGTCTGGGAAATACAGAAAAGCTGTGGGCAGAACTTCGAATAAGACAGAAATAATGGAGTCTCTCAAAATGTAGTTGGCTGATTTGTAAAGGGAGAAGGAAGGCCTCCTTCCAGAAGTAACTGAAAGACTTGGCCTATAATCACCGTGCATATGGCCACATGCTCCCGATTTCACTCACTCATGCTCAGAAGAAGAAACAACAAATAGTAATTGCATGCTAAATATTTTATTAGAATGTTGAAGGTGCACTTATAAATCATTGTTCCATGGAAATGACATTAAAGGTATGTGTCTTCAACTTCATCTGAAAGAAATGAATATAAAAAAGATCAGAGAGAAGAAAATAACAATGTGCAATTGCAACATTTCTTGAAGTATCTCTGTTTTCTATGGATTTCTATTTCTGTTAGAGTTAAAGCATATGATGCAGAGTGACTTTAAAATCGAAGAAACCATAGAATTCTAGGTTATGGGAGCCATTTAATATTTAGAAGTATGTATGATTTATGCCTTTAGGAAGTGGTTGCTGAACTTTGGAGTTTGGGGGTTGGTCTGAAGGATAATGTATCTGATTACCTTTGCACTGCCATGGAACCTCTTGGTTATACATAAAATGTTTACAGGGAACTTGACTGCTCCTCACTTCCCTGCTGGGGTGGACCTTGTTGGTTTTCAGGTTTTGGAGGGCGATTATGCTGCTGACCTTCCTACTGGGGTGCACCTTGCTGGTTTCCAGGTTTAGGAGGGCGAGGTTTCTGGTGGTCACATCCTTGCTGTGGTGGTCTCTCTGGTGCGTTTCCATCTTCTTCAACATCATCATCACCTTCTTCTTCAGATGCAGAAGGTTTTGGGGAGAATTCTCCAGGTGGGGGTCTCTGATGAGGTTGACCAGGGCCTTGGTCTTGCTGCTCTTCCTCTGCAGGGTATAGATCAATATAGGAGGAGTTCAAACTTTCTCTTTCTCCAATATCTCCCTCCCAGCTCTATGTCCCTGCTTCCTCTTGAGCCTCATTTTACATTCATTCATCATATAAAGTTTCTTGTGTCACAAGTCTTTGTACCAACATTTTTCTTAAATTTGGTGCATAAAAAGTGATTGGATATTCATTGCAATTGAAAAAATGGAAGTGTTTGTAAATGTTACAGGATAACAATTGCCAGAATAGCAAAATTGACAGCATTGCTCTTTTCTTAAATATATCATGGTGTTTAGATTCCAGTTGTAATGTGGACTTGAAATAAATATAGAAAAGGGACGAAAAGATGTTTCATTCATTTTTATGTAGTGTCTGTTTATGTGTTAGTCATCTATTCAGTATGAGCATATAATTTTACTTGAATAAATGGTGAAAGTGTGCCATGGAGAAATTTAAACGAGGATACCCAATATTCTTATCATATGCAAGACTTTTCTTCAATCTGTGGAAGAGACATAAAATCTTGGCTTTCTCCTCTGCCATTGTATAGTCCTACTCTAGCACCTAGAGGCAATGTTGGGAATTTGTACCATATGTCACAGGGGAAAATGTCACACATTAATTTCATAAAATAGCAAAATGACACATTGACTTTACAGAGCCAAATATTTAAAACACCAGAGTTCGCATAGAAGGTCCCTAGAGGATAAATCTGGCTTTACCTGAGAGTTGCAAAGAAGACTCTTCATAGATGGTTGCTAGGACATAAGCACAAAGTAAGTTTAAGGTTAATTAAGACATATTCAGGCCTCCCAGTAAAGAGGATTTTCAACCATAACATCATGTCCACTGAGTAGAATCTTATTCTTGGGCAATATTGCTGATAATGCTGCCAGAATGGTTTCTATTATCAAGAGCAACCATTATTTGGTTCCTTATTAGGTTTCTCTTTCCTTATGCTTAGTCTTCATGTATAATCTAGGAATTTTTATGTTTCATTAGTGTTTTGGTTTTTTGTGTTTGCTATTTTTTAATTTTAATTTGAAACAATCTTATTTTACGTATAAATCCCAGTACCCTCTGCTTCCCATCCTCCCATGCCTTCCTCCCCTGCCATCTCACACCCTGTCCACTCCCCAGGGAGATTGGGGCCTTCCATGGTGGATCATCAATGTCTGTCACATCATTTGGTTTGGGTCCTAGGCCCTTTCCGGTGTATTTAGACTGAGAGAGTAGCCCTGCATAGGGAATGGGCTCCCAAAATCTATTTGTGCACTAGGAATAAATTCTGGTTCCACTGTAAGAGGTCCCGTAGACTGCCCAGGCCTCCTAATTGTCACCAGCGTTCAATAGGCCTAGTTCAGTCCTTTGCTGATTCCCCAATGTCTGGCTTTGATACATGAGCTCCCAGTTGCTGAGGTCAGGTGTTTCTGTAGGTTTCCCCAGCATGGTCTTGACCCCTTTGCTCATCACTCCTCCATCTCTAGAACTGGTTTACATTGTTTATACTTTTCTTTATGACCTTCACTTACTATGTGATATATTCACATGCATTTTATGCCATGAAATGAGAATAAACATTGTTTCAAATGCTATGTATAGAACAATGAATAATGGCTATGCAGCATTAAATTTGAGAAATAAGTGCAGCTATGTATCTCAGTGGGTGAAAAGTGATTGGCCTATGACTTGAAATCAGTTTCAACCATGAATCCCATGTTAGAAACATCTCTGGTATATGTATAATTCTTTCATATTTCTCTATCCTCCAAACACCAAGATTAGCAACATTCACCCCTGATTCTCATACCACGTTAAGAACTGTGTTTCCCTCTGTCATCAGACTACCCTCTAACACATTGCTTTCCATCATCCACCAACAAATGCATTTTCACAAATATACTTGTGTTATTTTGTTGCAAGATGATATTACTAAATTATACTGTAAGTAAAGTATAAGATCAACAGGCAAAATGATAATATAAATATTCTAATATTTGTGCTATTTTTTGCCTTTGGTTTTTTTGTTCATCTTTTTCCATTCTTTCCAGTCCTGAACTTCAGTTTGTTGTCCAAGTCTCATGTCACTGTACCACCCTTCACCCTACTTCATACCTGCATTTGAGCTCTGAACTGAGCTCAGGGCCAACAAGGCCGCTGTCAGTAGGACCACCAGCATCTTGGAGGAGGCTCTGGAGGTGGTCCCAAGTCTGTGCTGGGGCCAGCAAGGCCACAGTCTTTATAAGGAAGGCAGAACAAAGGCATCTTTCAGGTCCTCACTGTAGATCTTAACTGACACAGCAGGATACTTTGCATCCCTGACTTTTCTTTGGGATGTTAGCCTAGCAGGATGCAGTGGGGAGGAGCTTATTAATGTTTCAGCTCTAAATGGTACAATGTGAAATTTTGACAACAATATTTACGTGATGCAGGCAAAGTCCAGACATTAGACATATAGTTCTATTATTATTCAAGTCTATTATTTTTTAATATCTATCATTGTTTAAGTCATTGTTATTGGCATAACTGAGTCTGACATATTAGCTATTATATTGGAAGAATTTGCTTCTATATATCTGTATGTATTTGTCCATATTCTTCCTTTCATTGAGGCTAAAGTTGGATATTGTCTTCCCTATTAACTGCAACATTCCTTTCATTAGTTTACTGACTTGATTTGTTCTGCATGGAGTTATGACACCAAGCAGGGATGCATAATACATTTGTCAAAGAATGAGAGCCTGTTTGGGCCTAGACAGACTGTCCAGATTTCCCAGGATTTGGTTAAAAGAAGAGATATTATGATAACATAGAAATAGAAGATAGAATATTTTGTTCTTCATGTCTTTGATGTTATATAAAGAGGAGTGGCAGTAGGGTATCCATGTAAATGTAGGACCAGGTAATCTATGTGCACCCAGTTTTAAATGATTCTAAGAAAACATCTAAACTCTAACTTTTTAATTGTTGATTTTAGGATCTAAATAGATTATGATTTGGTATTTTGACATTGTATACTTCAGGAATTATTCTTTTTTATTTTAGAAGCACTCTTATTTACAAGTAAATCCCCCATTTCCTTGCCCTCCCATCCTCACATGCTCCCCATCATCCCCAAATCCACACTCAATCCACTCCTCAGGGTTAGTGAGGCCCTCTCCAGGGGGAACAGAATAGTTCCTTACATTATATGGGTGAGGGCCCAGGCCCTTCTTCCCTTATCTGGGCTGCAATCGTATCCCTCCATAGGGAAAGGCTCCAAAAGTTCATTTGCGCTTAGGGATAAACATTGACTCCACTGTTAGGTGTCCCATAGACAGCACAGGGCTCCTAGCTGGCACCTACATTCAGAGGAACTGGTTAGTCTAATTCTGGCTCCCCAGCTTTATGACTAGAGTCCCTATCTTCTCACTAGGTTAATACAACTGTGTCATTGATCATTGGTTGGATAGACACATGAAGAAATAGTCTGACATCACCTTCACAGTCTCCATGGGTTGGCTTTCTTTAACTAATCTTTAACATGGTGAATCACATTTACCATGTTCTGACATGCAGTTCTCTGATATTTTCCATCCTGACCTGTTGATGATTTTAAGATCATACAAGCTACTGATGTTCTTTACCAGCACCATCTCTATGCCTCTTGCATTTCCAATGAATCCCTGAAATCCCTGAACTTATCTTTCCATTTTATGCCTTCTTTGTTCTTTAGCTTTATTGTGGTTTCTGTTTATTGCTTCAATACTGTTCTTCTAACCATTTCCTTCATATTAGGAGGCCAGTTGTGAACCACCAAAGACAATTTATTTAGTTCTCATGAGCATAGTTTCGTTTTTTTTCTCAAAAAATTAGTTAGCAGAAAACCAGGTGTTGGTCACTCAATTTAAAAATGTACTTAGGGGCAGAGGCAGATGTATCTCTGTATGTTCCTAACCTGCCAGGTCTGCAAAGTGAATTATAGGATAGTTAGTACTATTATACAAGGCAACCCTTTCTTGAAAAAAAATAATTGGTTAGCAGATAGTTGTGTTTAGATAATTATTGGTTGGATACTAATGTTATTTATTCCATAGTCCTACTCTTTCCTGTTTCAGGTTGGAATCACATGACTGTGGGAGGTGCACAACACAGAGTGTAAATAGCTGCTTTTTCATGTCTGAGACTACGTTTGGCTTTCATTACTGCCTAGTTTTTGATTGGAACTGGTAGAAATTGGAAGAGAGCTTGGATGAGCTAAAACAGGAAGGGCCATGTAGTGTAAATTTAGACGATCCATCATCCAATGGAATACTTTCATGTTCTGGGCATATCAATAGAACTAGCAGTTGACTTCAAACAGTATACAAATTATCTATGCAAAAAAGTGACCGAAAAAAGTTCCCTTGCTGCAGATGTAGTAAAATTCTTTAGAGTGTTTTTTCCCTTTTAAGGTGATAAAAGTTGTATTATGAATCGGTGGTATATTGGCCTATGATAATTTTGTCTGGTTCTAAGAAAGCCAGAGACATTCTCACAAGACTCTTAAAGTATAAAACAAAGACAGGGAACCACTGACCATTGGAATATGGCCAAATTTATATTGACATGGTAATTGCCTAGTGACTGCAGGTACAGCAATGGAATGATCTGGAGATGAGTGCTCCTGACCATGTTTGGCTTTGGTGGAATTTGTCCTGTGGAAGTCACAGAAGGAGCAGAGGATAAAGTTAGGCATTCATGTTCATGTGTGTGCTGTTGTGGAATTGCGTGTTCTGCAGAACCCAGTCTTGTCCTTAGTATGCGGGTCCTACTATAGAGAAGTTGATTTTTCCAAATATCATAAAACTAGAACCCTTTTCTTGACTTTTTCAGTGTTAACACTGTGTGAAAGAGATTATTGTTTTATGTAAGAGAATGACACCTCATATCTTTCCAGAAATAATATAATCAGGTTGTAGAACAAGTGAGATGGAACATTCAGTCATTAATATTTTTGATGAGCTAAGCAATACACATCATAAAAAAGGCTCTTAGGAACCTTTAGTGTTGGAAGCAGTTAAAAGTGGCTTCTCCTTAAGAACCAGCTGTAGGTATTCTGGTTAAATTAATGAAGAATTCAAATTCATGGCATTACAATGGTTCTTTCATGTCCTGTTTATTATTTAACGCCTGAAAATACATAAAGTATGTGAGCAGCACATGTGGAAATTCCATTTTTAACTTTAGTGAGGATTCAGTATTCATGTTCATGGAATGCGTTCTGTGTGTCATCCCTTTTTCACTCTCAAAGGCTTCCTATTTTGTTCACATTCTTAGAAGAATTTGTTCATTTCTTGAATCATAGTGTGTTAAGAGAAGCCTTTTCTGTGAGAGAAGCCTTCCCGCCAGCCTGGTTCTAGAGCCGCATCAGTCCCAAATAAACACACAAGAGCCTGTATTAATTATGAAGCTGTTGGCCTTGCTTGTTTCTTACTGGTTAACTCTGACTTAAGTAATTACCCCATAATTGTTCATTTAAGTATGTCTCTTACCGGAGAAGTTCCGGGCTTCCTACCCCATGGCGTTACATCTCGACTCTCCTGTGTTTCTCCTTCCCAGAGTTCTCCTGGACTCCTAGTCCCACCTATCTAGATTCCTATTGGCCAGCAGTGCTTTATTGACAAATAACAGGACTTTCCCAACATCTCCTCTTTTCTGTTTAAACAAAAAGAAAGGTCTTAACTTTAAAACGGTCAAATTGTATATAACAGAACAGTTATCAAATAAGAACATAGTTACAATATTTTAGCAAGATTTAAAGAAAATATCATCCATCCCATCCTTGTGAGTCCAAAGTTCTATGTGTAGCTTATCTTTTATCATAACTAAGGAAAACTATAACTGTAACTATCTGTCTTCAACTCCATCAAAGACCACAGAAGAATAACATATAAACACTAGGATTGACAGAGACATCTTACTGCCTGGACAGTCACCCGAAGTTCCTCTGTATTGTCGGGGCATCCATCTTCAGCCCATAGGCCACAATGTGTCCAGAAGATTTCTCAGGAAAGCAGGAAATTTCAAATTGTCCATCTGCATTGGCAGTCTGTCAGTCATTTCTCTGTGTCCTGCAGAAAGTCTTGTAGACTCTTCCATGAAGCAGGAACCCTGCAAGACTGAGTACAGCAGTCACTTTCCTGTGGGTCCTGCATGTCCATATTATACAACAACAGTCAAGCAGTCTAGGCAAGAGCAGTTTCTTTCCCAAATGGCTAATCTTGCCATGTAGAAAACAAACTCCATAATGAGTCTCTTCGATGCCCATCTTCCTCTCAGACGTCATTGGTGCTGCCAGGAGCAGACATTTCTCATTGTCAAGAAAAACCCTAAACCATTTTAAATGCCATTTTCTGAAGGTCTTTGAAAGGTTTGAAGACTATCTATCTGTCTCAAATATATCTCTATATATCTAGAAGATCTAACTTACCTAACTATAAGTTCTATTATAGGTAACTATCTATAGTCTGTATTCAATTATGCATTGCATTTTAAAAGATCAGTATAAGCACAATACTTAATCAAGAGAAGTATACATGTCACAAAATTGACCTTGAATTTGTCTCAATAAATGAAAAACCATGCCCATACCATAATAGGGACTGTTTTGACTGACACCAAATGCAATAGCTTCAGAGTTTTAAACTACATTTCTATAAAAATAAAAATGTCTAACATTTATGGAATATTTATTAAACATTTTCAATTTTCCTTTGTAAACATGTCCATTCAAGGCTGGAGGGATGGCTTACCATTAAACGATAGGCTAACAAGCAAGTATGTAAGAGAAATACCTTTCCAATATTTTGTGTTAAACTTCTACAAATGGAGTCTTTTGAACATTCTGAGTATTTGTCTCCTATCTGTCACACTTGTGACACATGCTTTTATTATTATTTTGTTTGGAAACAATTTTATTTTACATATCAATGCTATTCCCTCTCCCTCCCATTCTCTCATGCCCCATACGACCATCCCATCCCACCCCCATCCATGACCCAAGAAGGATTAATCCTTATACGGGTGATCATTAAAGTCTGTCATACCATTTTGGGCAAGGGCCTTCACGTATCTAGGCTGAGAGATGGGGAATGGGCTCCCAAATTCCCTTTGTGAATTAGGAATAAATACTGGTTCTTTTGTCAGAAATCCCATAGA